CTACATAATGAATTTTAGTTTGATAAGGAATATGACAGACGAGATTATAGAACATAATACACTGCAACACTAGTTTTCCTTTTAAGGGCTTTTTGTATTGTGCACTATATTTAGATATTCTTAAATAGCGGATCTGATATGACATTTAATTAATAAGATTATCAGAAATCTGATCTATTATTTATATTTAATATTTACTTCTTCAACAGGATATCGGTTGTTGCTATTATTGCTATATTTCATGGAACTAATTGTTGATTTGAGAAAATGCCGTAATATATATTTAGGTTGAAAGAGGATATGACTTACAAAAAAAGAGAATACACAATCATATAATACACGGTAACAATAGTTTTCCATTCATCGGATTTCTTCCTTGTGGATAATATTTAAATATTGTTCAACACCGGATCTTTTTTTGTTTGTTTATTCTGACATGCAATTAAATATATCAGATAAATCTTTACTATTAACTTCGTAACTAGGATCTACATTAGTTTATAAATACCTTTGCTCTATTTTATTTAATTAATTGTAGCTTTGTTAAATCTATTTGGTATTAGGTCAATACGAGATACGTCAAACGAAGTTAGAGTAAACAGAAATGGCATATGTATTACACTGCAACAATAGTTTACCTTCAATGATTTTCTTTCTTGTGTGCTATATTTAAATGTTGAATATTGTGAAACACCGGACCTATTTTTTGGTTTATCTGACGTGCAACTAGATGTATTAGATATCTGATCTTATATTTATTAGTTCTGTGTCCGCCGTCACCAGGATATTTGTTAGTTGCTATTTTGTTTTACTTTATTGATTGTTGCGTTGCGAAACTTACATTGAATATAAAAATAAGGTTCAATTGAAGTGAATGTAAGCAGTAATGTGCAAACATACGGCCTTGAACAATGAGACAAACCCATACCTTATAGGCACTCCAATTCCTATTCAAATGTAAAAGCGTGCCCAAGATAGTTAGGTTTTCTTAACACATTGGAATTAAAACTGACGAATAGCAAACATCTACTTGATCGTAACAACTTGCGTCAATTTATAATATATATGTATAGATTAAATGAAATAACGAATTAAAGAAAATATATAAAATTATAAAAAAGGTAAACTGTTAACCTTTAAAAAAATATTTGGCGTGAATTGTAGACATAATCCCCTAATAATGCAAGATAATGACAATAAACTTTCTAAAATCGAATTATTTGAAAGACTTTGGCATTTATGAACAATAGGAATGTACTTTTATAAAATCAAATCAATCTAAATTTTCAAACGTTTGTACTTTGATGAAAGAAAATTTGGAATTATTAATGTTTTCAATCATTACTGAACGTCTATAACAAAAACTTTCATTTTTATTATTTTTTGTTGTTGTTGTAAATAATAGACTAATTATCTACATAAACCAATGCAATCTAAATATATAGTGATGTTTCTTGTTTATTATATGGAATATAATATTTCACACTAGCAGCAACATAACAATAAGGTCGAATATCGTGGTACACTATCGGTGTTCGTGATTGTTTTCCCCCTGGACAAATCCCACATTCTCCGATGTTCCTGTATACAAATATCAGAAAAGAACAAATTATAATTGAAAATAATTAATAACATGAAACATAAACTGATTCGTGTTTATAGAAAGTTCTTGAAATGATAGAAAAGTGGTAATTCATTCTGAGAGTTAAAAATAGAAAGAGTCAGGTGTTCCCTTTCTTTTGCGGTATTAAAAAAATAGCAATTTTTTAATCAATGTTTGTAATTCCGAAAAACTTAAAAAGTGCACGCGTATGAATGCCTTTTTAAAACAATATTGTTACATACGAATTTAAAACAAATGCGTTATGTATTTTTTATAAACAATAAATTAAAATTGAAAGATACCCGCTTTCATATAAGCCTCTTAGATACATTATTGTTTTAATTAGTGGTTAATGGCGTTAAACTAGCTGTCTGTAACTTCGAGTACTTTCAGATATGTTCGTAGTGCTTTTTGTTGTTAGGGATGAGGAATAGATACATAACCTGCCACGTCCGGTCGGTGAGTATGTTAGATGTTCTGCTTTGTATTGATCTGATGAGTTAAGCCTTTTTACACTGATTTTTATTGTTTGTTCTTATGTTGTACTGTTACACCACTGTACCAGGTTAGGGGAGGGTTGAATGATCATAAATATGTTTAACCATGCCACATGCTTTATGTGCCTGTCCCAAGGCAGGGGTCTGAAGTTAATTAGTTGTCGTTAGTTCATGTCTGTAATATTTGTTTTTTGTAAATTGTTTTGTTACAAATTATGCCGTTATTTTCTAAATTGAAATATTTTCATGTCGGGGCCTTGTAAATCCGACTATACGGTATGAATTATTCTCATTATCAAATGCCGTACGATTTCCTACAATTGCTTAAATTCACACCATTCCAATGTTAGTGGAAAGTTGTCTCATTGGCAACCATTCCACATCACCTTATTCTTATATTGGATGGACACAATAACGGTCTGTCCTGCTCATTTCTTCAGACGACGAAAGCAAAAAATGTTTCCTTGCAACTTACGATCTAATACTTCGAATCAGTAAAATTTACAAATCTAAATTTTAATTATTTGTTTATTAAAAAAACTGGTGGAGTCTCGGTTCATCGTTTTTAAACCTTTGATTTTGATCGTCTGTGTTGTGTTTGGTTCTTTGAGAATACTTTTTTACTTATCAATATTCTAAAATGACTTCAAGAATAATTTCATGTTGTCTGTTAAGGGTGGCGACGTTCAGTCGTATAAAAAAAAGATTTCAACAAAATGTAAGGGTATTGAAGAATACGTTTTCACAGCCAAATTTTACTCATGGGAATTGCAAATGAATCTCACGTTAAATTCACGTAAAATGAACTTAAACATGAAACTGACTTGAACTTTCATGTGCATTTAATGTTATTGCATGTGAAACTTTTCACGGATCTTTCACGTTAATATTTCAAAAAAGAAATTGGGAATTTTTTCATGAGACATGTATTAATCAAGTTTCGAATTTTAAAAATTCACGTGAATTTCATGTGAAAAAGGTTAATGTGATTTTCATGTCAAATTCACATGACCTTCAAGTGAAACTCACATGAACTGATTTCACGTAAGTTCAACATGTAAGTTGTACAGCTGATCATAAATGAAATACTAAGGAAATAAAACGTTTTTTGTTTTTGTTTGTTTTTTTACTATGTTAAGTGAGTAGGAGTGAGGGGATTGCCTAGCAGATTTGTTTTTTCTTTTTAAATAATTTCATTAATTAATTGTTATACGTGAAATTAAAACCCTACTAAACGTAAGGCTGGTTTTATTTTGTCATATAAAATTCCCTTAATTCACTCTACAACGTCTTTGTTATCAAGTAGAAAGAAACAGGAAAATGAAATATAATCTTTGAAAAGTTCCTTCAAAATCGGTATCTAGCAACAAATGACATGCATAGTACTTCTCCTTTGAGGTATCTGCTCATAGAAAAAAATGACACCTAAATGCAAATTGATCAACATGTTATTGTAAGGAATTAAAAAATATATTTAAACTTCTAAATTCTTTGTAATTAAATTACAAAAAGCAAACTATATTACTGTAAAAGTGACATTTAGCAGGAAATGGAAATTAAATATTATTCCTGTGAGGAGATATATATTTACAAATATAGATTATTAAAATGTTGTTTTGATAACATGGTTTCGCGCTGATTCAATGCTTTGTAACCGGGCAAGCTATATAAAAGCCGTATGCTCTAGATTTATCGTATAATCATTATCCGTTGATTATTGTAGATATTTGTTGTAATTATGAACACAGTTCGACTCATTTAATGTCGGAGTTCTTATGCTAATAGATTGTTACGTTGCTGGAAACACATATCCGCGGAAGAGACAATATAACATAAAGTTACTTTCATTTATTACTAAAAACTTTTTCGAAATATATAAAAAAAAAAATGAGAAACAGATAAATTTGCTGCTGCATATCGTACTTGGAAAATCATGTCTAAAGGATTAAGCACAAGAGGACTTTTACTTTTCCTTATTTATATAGGTAAGTATTGAGGGTGCTAAATCAGAGTATTGTTAATAAACAAGTGTACACATTATTGCTGCCTTGTTTGTATAAAACACAACAAATATACACATACATGTGTGCTTTATCTGTAAACAAGTTCATGAAGTTTGGTGAACGAAAACAAATAGATATATTCGATCAACATTAAACTAATCCTGATAGGGAGACTTATATTTCCGCACAACAAAGTTAACGTACAATTTTTCTAGTAGCTTTACTAGGCGGTAGTTGATCAATATATTTGATAAAATATCCACATACTAGTAAATGTTAAGACATGTTATGACAATTCATAAGCGAAAAACAAAGCACGAAACATGAATACTGTATAGTTTACAAGTGTTTAAAAAATATATTTTATTGTTATATGCATCAATTATATGAAATCTGATAACGTTTCTTTTGCATTCCTTTCTCTCCTGAATATGGAAAAGCAATAATGCAACTGGACCTAAAAAATCAATCAAATATTGATTGTATGGTATGTAGTGTACCTTTTGTCAATAACGTTTTCAAGAATTGACAATTGATATCTTGAAATAATGGATCCATCGGCATTCCTCTGCCGTCTTAAGTCAAAATCTACTTTTTTACATTTCTTTTTTTTTTTTGTTATTTAGACAATTGATGTTTAAATCACTTGTGTTTTTTCAGAGTCTTTATATTTAGGGATTTACATTCATTAGGTTCATGTCTATTAGTTGGTTACTGTCACCATTAACGTATGTCCAACATGTCTTTTTATAACACATATACAAGTAAACAAACATTCTTGCCCACAAATGCATCATAATCATTGATAATGTTATTTACACAAATCAGTTTATCCATGTGTGCAGAAAATTACTGTAACTTCATTTAATTTCTATTTTTATTTTATTTTAGATTTATTCACTTCTTCAACATCGTACAGTGTGAGTGACGCAAATAATCTTCTCGACAAGTTATTTAATCAGTCTGGTTACAATAAACTGGTCCAACCAGACAAACAAGTAATTGTATTTGCAGGATACACATTGCAGAGTGTAAATTCATTAGTAAGCATATCAAGTTTTTGTTTTCGTTTATCTACAAGATCACTTAAAACTTTCCTAAATGTTTAACAATAAAAACAGCAAATCAGAAAAAAACAGAAACACATACAGATAATTATGGGTAAATAGGAACCTTGATGACATGTAAAAGGGAATATATTTCATATATTAAATATAAGGTAAGGAGATGCGATATGCTTGCTAATGAGACGACTTCCTTGACAGTAAATCTACCATTATACCGTTTGTCATGAATCAGAGCAAAAAAAATATCTGTTCCCATTTTACTCATAAATATTTTGTGAATTTGAAATGAATAGAAATATATACCAATGTCGATTCAGAATGATGATGTGTTTAACAAAAATCTCGGTAAGCGTGGAGAGCAAGCTGTCGATCCTACCAATGGTAATTGAAAAATGAATATCAAGAACATCAGTGTGATTCGTAAATCAAATTATGCAAGCTGCTTTTTCCCAAAGAAATGATTTGAATGTTGAAGTTAAGGAATTCACTGATTTTACAAATTTAATCTTTCTCCTTCTTTGGTAGCCTTAGCATCCTGCATATCATTCAATCTTGATTGCTTAATGACCAGCGGTCATATCCAAGCAAGTGTGTTTCGGAATTTATAGATACATTTAAATACATTTGTATGAATCAAGGTACATGGGAAATCCTGTATCATATGTTAAGTTGTTTTTCTATCTATATTCCTTTAATTTATGAAAACAACATTTTACCTAAGTATTACTATGATTATACTTTTTAATTTCGTAACTTTTGATGTGTGTTGGTCGTCACTTTATTTAAAAGATGTGCATTTTTGTGGTTTTCTTTCATTCCATCAAATTTTGTAATTCGTTTTGCTAATTGATTACACAATTGTTTTGTTAGTTTCAGAGGTTGAAAAACCTTGGACAATTTTGTAAGACTGTCTGTGAATATCTAAAATGAATCCATAGTTTTAATCCTGGATTCTATGGTGCGTTTATATAATTTCTATGTACATGTACGAATATTAATCCATACTTTATGGAATTCTTTTTTCCCTGGATGGTGGTATTTGCGGAAAACGTTTTAGCGTATTTATAGGACATGATATCGGGAGAAACAAAACGGATGTATAAGCGGCAAAGTACATCTCATTTTAGCGCCAGATATTCTACCCATTTTAGCGAAAAGTGAAATTATCAATGGCCATCTTAACGGCAATTTATTTTCATAGAAGAATGATGAATGTTGATAGTATCAAGACAGTCCAAAATAAAACATATAATGTCTATAAAAATACAGCACTAAAAGTATAAAGAGTTAAGTCAAATGATTAACTGTCGGTTGATGTCCCAGAGAACGTACGTAATTTGGCTCATAATATACCTCATGTACAAAGGCTGTTCGTAAAATTGTGATCGGAACTATTTCTTTTGATCATTTTCTATAGATTGAAGAGCAGATTAAGCGGTACTTATTATTGTAGTATATGGTCTTGTTATTAATTTGATGAAAGTATCCAGAAAACTTAAATTTCTAGGTGACTTTAGCCATCACACTTAGCACTTTTGTTTTCATCTGTTTTATTTATCAATTCAAATCAAGCATCTAAAAATAGTAGCTATACTAGTTTTTAATAACTGAATTAGTTTATATGTGACAGCCCTGTTAACATATTTTAACTATTTGGACTTTCGACATTTTGTTCGATGAGCCGTATGTTGATACCATTCAAAATCTATTTATCTATTCCGAGCAGCCATTTAAAACACAGAAACAACTGTAATGACTCTCGGCTGATTATGTAAATTATGTGGAAAAGGTTGTCTTACCCAACACATCTGATTGGGGTCTAACAATTATTGCTGAATTTGGTGTCTTTTGATTTGCAAATAATCACTGTAAATAAGGAATTAATAATGTTAAAACACCTTTATTGAAAATATGTAATTCTGTACAGATTTTAATTTCAAGTCTATTAAAGTATTGTTGGACTTTAGTTGTTAATAGAAAAGTATAAACAGTGCTGGTAATATTTTGAAATTTATTTCCAAAATATTTGCTCTAAAAAAAGGGAAAACAGTACACACCATCAAGATGAACATACATTTGGTTTTGTAGGCTTATCAATTAATGAATTTATACTCATGGTAGAGGTGGCATATATAAATTAAATGTCCAATTTCATTTAAGTGTAGCTCTAGATCTGTGTTAAGTAGCAGCAGTAGCCTATTGGGTTTCCTATGTTCTTTAGAGAAAACAAAACACCAGAATCCTCATATACTGACATATATAATGAATACAAGATTGTGCTATCAAACGAACCGATTTACATAAAATAATATCATTGGGTAGAGCCAATTAGATGCTGCAAAATCAAGGGTCAAGCTTAAATAAAAAGATAATGACCCAGCACATTGCAAATTTAAATTATAGTCCTGAACCTTTTGGCTAGTTTTTTTTCATATCAACCAATATCACCTTCTGTAATCCTCGGCATTTTACTGCGCAACGTTCTCAACCGGACCTCGTTCAAACGAAAGGTATTTACCGAGCGCATTGCAAACTTTTGGCTACTGCAAAGATTCAAAAATCTAAGTCAATGTATCACCCACTGGTTATATAGCTTGTTGGTTCTTAAAATGATCTTTGGTTGTCGGTATCATTATTGGTTGCATGAATTGGTCGCTAGTTTTGATGAACGGGAAATGACGGTGACACTTGTCTGCACTGTAGGAATGTATAAAATATACAATGTAGATAGTGATTCAATTTTGCTTAATAAAAAGAAAACATATGCATATAATTTTGTTTAACTCAATCTAAAATAATTTAAAATCAACACACGGTATAACTTTAATATAATAACCCCGAGCCGAATTATGTAGATGTATGTCTTGCATGCTTACAATTGAAGATTGATGTATCAATAAGTAGGCAGAACAGGAAGACAAACTTAAAGTACCAAAACTAACAATGCGGTTTTCGTCTCTTTCCATGATAGAGACAAAAGGTGTGTTCCTGCTCTTCAGTCATTATCTATTGACATTAACGTTTTTCAGTTTAAAAATGTTTATATATATATATATTTGTATATACTCATATAGTCCGATCATACGCGTATGGTCCGGATAATTTATTGATGATTGTAAACATCGAAAAGGTGTCGCATAATTAAGAGTTCCTTAAAATGAATTTTTTACGTATTCAACCATACGGTAATCAATGCTACAGGATTAATCAAACAAAGTGTAGTTTATTTAATAGTAAGAAACATTATCATTTTTAGATTGAAATTTCTTGAATATTTCAAATTGCATTTAGATATTTGAAGTGTTCTTGCTCCTACTGATACGATCTTACATTAACATTGAGATCCGGGTATATATTAGGTGCAAACAGACATGATCATTTAAGTGAAAATAAGTAGAAATTACATTTTCTGGAATGATAATTTAAACACACAAAACAAAAACAACCAAAGTGAGCTGTGTGTTCCTGTGAACGCTAGAATTTATTCGAAAAATACCAATATGGTCTGAATACTCTTATGGGTTGGCCCTTTAATAACCAAACGAGTATAATACTTAAATGGTCCGACCATACGCGTATGGTCCAAATACTGATGTCCGGAACATATTTACATCTCCCAGTTTATACGAAATTTCAGAGCTAGGACTTCCCATCATGATTTCATTAATATAGGTTTTCTGCTTTAAAGAGAACAATGAAACCAGATGTTTGGAGGTATGAAGCTGAAATCATCCCTTCGAAAATTTTACGGACGAAATCGGGAGTTGGTCGTGCGTTATGGAATGATAACATATATGTTCCAATTAAATTTTCGTAACACCTTTCCCGTCCACTTTCCGCGAATGTGATCTACCGAATTATAAATATCACAAGGGTTTCACTTACCTGAGCAGCACAATCGGTGCCACATGTGAAGAAAGATGAGTCTTCCCTGTCGAAGCACCTAATATCACCCCTAGTTTTGTAAAAAAAAGGGGTTTGTGTTGCTCGGGCTTTATATTTTAGTATTGTTCCTGTTGTTTTTAAATTAAGGTAATATTGAGAAAAAAAAATGTAATATCATTTCAAAAGCTTCCGAAACTAAAAGACGACAAAGAAAATTATACAAGATAACTGTATTGCACTTGTCATTATCAAACTGCTGATTTAAAATGTTTTGGTGAAGGAGAAGATTGCCAGAAAAACAAATGCACTACAAAACACTTGTGCACTATTTTTAATACGTTAATTAAGAACCATCACTAAACATGTCATTGATGTATTGTAAAGTCAATTACGGCATGCATAGCTATGTTTCCTTTTTTTTTTTGGATTTGGCTTTACTTTTGCTCTTGTTTGGTTTATACGCTTTGATCTCGGGCATCATTGACGAGACATTTATTCTGAAAATGCGCATCTGATGCAGTAAATCTGGTGAAACTTATGTTACCGCTACCATTGGGTCGATACATCTGCTACTGGACTTGTTCGTCACAGAGAGTATCATAAAAACTGACAAAATAAAAGGGAAATTTCTGAACAACAAATTCAAATGAAAACAATATCTGTATTTTCATGTCAGTATCGATGTTCCTACTACTGAGCTATTGAGATAGAAATATACAGGGATGAGTGTGGTCTCTCATTGTGAACTCGGATATATTTTTAGTATGAAAGGCATTTTGCAATAAAATCTGAGACAGCAAAAGAATATTATAGCCTTGAAAGTGGATTATTGGAATCTCAAGATCGTTTTTGGGCTGTGTTCTGTTTCTGTGAGAACGCAAGACAAAATGAATGTCAAATATATTAGGATCAATTTTACATAAATAATGTATATTTTCTAACTCTATATTGCTACCTTATACCTTCGAGGATAAAACGTCCACCACTAGAAGTATCGACACAATGGTAGTAATTATGTTAATATTCATCAATAAAACAGAAATTTCACTAGCAATCACATATAACTTTTAAAAAACTTTTTTCATGTTCATAGGACAAGACTCATAGAAATAATATATATAGAATTTAAAACTGGTTTTCACAACATTTACGTGTATATTTTTACATTTGTGCTTATATTTTTCAAATGTAAATATATTTTGTTGATTGATTGTTGGTGTTGTAATGCCACTTTTGTGCTATTTTGTGGCGGCCAGTTTTTATTGTTGGAAGAAGCCGGAGTGCCCGGAGAGAAACTACCGAACTTAAATAAGAAACCTAAAAGTCCTAGTCAATTAAGATTGGAGTCGGAAAAAAAATAAATAAGATTGGAATCGAGTGCACCCGCACGAGCGGGGTTCGAACTCACAACCTCAGTGTTGACTGGCTAGTGACTACAGTAGTAGAACTACGTAGACCACTTGGCCACCGAGACCCCTAAATATATTTTTAATGTGCCATTTATCATGTTTCTCTGAAAGTCTAAACGTTACATAGATACATTTTTCGATGTGCATTTGCAGTTTTAACAGTTGGTTACAAAAACTCATAAAATTACGTAAGATCGTCCATGTTTTGTCTGTCTTGTTATTGAGTTACAATCGCTGTTTTAATTTAATGTTAACATTTCATCTTGTGTTTATTTCTTAGTCATATTTTGAAAAATGTGAGTTTTATCACTTCTTTATTATGATCCATTTTTTTGATTTTTTTAGGATATCAAGAAACAGATATTTTCGACAACAGGATTTTTTACCTTGGTCAGTAAATCTATTTATGGTCTAATATTTGTTTTTTGGGCAAAAGGGAAAGGAACTTTAGAAATTATTTTAACTTGACTAATATATGTTTTCATGGTGAAAACCCGAATTTATTTGTTGTCAAAATGAATTAAAGCAGGAAACAGCTAAAATGATTTTGTTGGTTGAATCTTCCTTAAAAATCAGTCAAGAATTGAAAGGCTATATGTTTACTTATAGTTGCTAACATTCACGCCAACGTGACTCTTGTGGATAGTTGTCAATCATTGACAATCATATTACATTCCTTTACTATTATATGCTTTATATAACTTAAAAAATCTGATTTTTAATCATTTTGTTTTTTTATTTTGAACGTTGATATGAAATAAATGTGGTATGATTGCCCCTTGCAATGTTGCCGGATATTAATAAGTCCCTACAGAAGGATTAAAACGCTAGAGAAAGAACATTTGTTTTGGGGATTTTTCTTTATTCAAAATATCATTATGTGCATAGGAACATTTTGTCATTCGTATATCATTTGTGTTTATTTTGATGTTTATTTCAGGAATGGCAAGACGACCGATTGAAATGGGACACAAGTTATGGAGACATTCAATCAGTATTTGTACCAGTTGACCGAGTTTGGCACCCCGACTTGGTTGTTCTTAACTTGTAAGTATTTGAAGAGTGTACACTTCCAATGTTAAAAAAGGTGTTGTCAAGTTTATAGAAATGTTTTCATATAAAAGCACATACATCTTTCTGAATAAAAAAAACAGCCATGTAACTTAATCATACATATTGACGAGCTTTAAACATCTTCTGTTACCACATACTTGTAGATCTATATCTTTTTAATATTTTTGTCGTTTTTGTACTGTCTCACTGACGTTTATCTAAATTTGTTTTGATCACTGGCAATTTATACATTTAAAAGTTATATTTTTTCTCGTGTTGTTTTGCTTACACATCTTAATAAAAAAAACTTTATAATTTCAAATTAGAATTCACGAGTTAGAGCGGAATCTTGGTGCTGAAAGACCAGTTCGAATACATAAGGACGGAAAGCTGGTTTGGAAACCAATCGCAATGCTGTCCACGTTTTGTTTAACTCTTGTCTACTTCTTCCCATTTGACCGTCACACATGCAGTTTAGAATTAACTAGCTTAGATCACCCTGTATCGGATGTCTGTTTAAAATACTTTAAAAACCCAGTAGATATAGATGTACACTATTCACAGGCGGATTGGCAGGTTATAAACACCTTAAATAATTACAATTCTACGACAGCATGCCCAGACTTATCAGGGTGGCCAGAATGGCTAGGATTGCCAGAATGGAACTCGTATTTGTTTTTCAACCTGGAGTTAAAAAGGCTTCCTGGGCATTACATAATGATCGTTTTATTTCCAACCATTCTTACTGCAGTATTAACATATGCTGCATTTTTTCTACCACTTAAATCCGGAGTCAGGATTGGATATATTGTTACAGTGGTACTTGCTTATGCGGTGTTATTGACGTTATTTGCAGAGACAATGCCGTCATCTACAAAATTTCCTTCAGTTCTAGGTAAAGTTACAATTTATAAACATATTTGTACACTCGTTTCTGTCCTTTTCGTAATTTACCCAGATTCGAAAGACATTGTCTGATGTTTTATGTTTTTAAAAAAGAAAGTCAAAGAACGCATCTTAAGATACTTAAGAATCTGGTTGGTTATATCGATGACTTTTTAGTACATACTTATTCTAATTCCAACATGTATTTATTGGCTATACAATAGTAGTCAAAAGTTTCTCCTTAAAAATCAAATTCAACAATGATAGATTTAATGATTCTAACAAGTAATGACAATGCAATCAATTGAATATTTTAATCAATTACTTGGGAGGAGGTGATCCAAACATTTTTTCACAATCACCCGTGTCTTGGCGATGCCAATGGGAACCTTTGGTAGTTTTCCATAGTTACAGTTTCAACTACATGTTTGCTTGTTTTCGTGCCTTTAAATCTAAATGAGAGGCGAAAGGTACGAGAGGGACATATAACTCCTTATTTTCATATTCAATTTCCAGTAGATTTCAAGTTTTCGAGAATTAGTTTTCTTCTCTGATCATACAGCAAATGAATATTTTTTTTTACATTTGATAGACATGAGGATTATCGTGGATGAGCTTTTCATCCTTGACATGTTTGGGATTAAACCAAATGGGGGTTTCCTTTAAATTCTATGTATATGAAGATTTACGAGGATGAGTGTTTTATATTGAAGAATTTCATAAATGAGTATTTTTTTTCATCTTTCAGATAATACACAATGTATTTTTTTCTACATTCGATAAAATTGACAATATGGAGGCTTAGAAAGCAAAGGGACATAATAGAGGACACTTCGATGTATATTCCTTAAATAAACATCAATGTTGTGATTTTACACTATTGTTTCATAAAAAGGGTGAAGGTTTGGTACCATTAAAACATTTAAACCCGCTGCATTTGTTTGCACCTGTCCTAAGTCAGGAATCTGATGTTCAGTAGTTGTCGTTTGTTGATGTGGTTCATAAGTGTTTCTCGTTTCTCGTTTTATATATAGATTAGACCGTTGGTTTTCCCGTTTGAATGGTTTTACACAAGTATATTTTGGGACCCTTTATAGCTTACTGTTCGGTGTGAACCAAGTCTCCGTGTTGAAGACCGTACTTTGACTTATAATGGTTTACTTTTATAAATTTTGACTTGGATGGAGAGTTGTCTCATTGGCACTCATACCACATCTTCTTATATCTAATCAATGTATATATTTTCTTGTAAAAATCGCTTCAAACCATGCATAGGGACAATGGAAGATCGAATGCTATAGTCCTTGGATGAAAGTGATATGTTTAACTAGGTTTTAGGGAGCCAACCCCCTCCTTTTGTATTTCAGTTCCTTAGTAATCAATGTTCAAAGTTTTGCAGATCTATCATACTCTAGGATTGCGTAAAGTAAACACTTCTTAGACAGCTGCTGATTTGAAAGCTGTCATATATATATATATTTATATATTGATACTAATAACACTTCTAAATATTATTAAACGAAGGCGCCAGATCATTATACAAAACAAAACAATACAGTACACAATAGAAAAAATAATATATACGTCTAAAAAATGTGTGAAAACAACACCAATAGTATATAAAGAAACATTAAATACAAGTTGCAATAAATATTTCGCTAAATAGATATTCTTCATCAGTATTATTATAGTGATGTGATCATTCTAATGAAGGACATCTGCAATCCGAAATATCTAAAGACATTACAAACACCGTTTCCCCCTTTTTAGTATTGGTGTTGGTTTATACAACTTTTCAGGCGATTTCACCTGGATGGCTGTACGCGTCTGATGAAGCTAATTTGTTTAGCGAAATGTGACCTGAATTTATAAAATAAAATAAAATTTTTATAACACCCATTAGGATGTTATAGTTGAATTCTTAGATCTATATAAACGCATTCTGAGATATCTATAAACGCCTAAAAAGTGTACAATACAACACCAATTATATAAAAAAGGAAATATTAATTAAAACCGAATTATCTATAAATATTTCGGATAACAGATATCTTTAATCAGTATGATTATGATGAAAAACGAATCATATCAATCTATTGTGATTTAAGTATAACGATCTTGAATTTTATACAATTAAAAACCAGAGCACAAAAACGCTTGTACAATTCTAAAATTCAAAAATGACGTAGGTTATATATTTGTTGCTAAACTCTTAATAAGGGGTCGTCATCGCATTTTTTTTTTTTTACTTAAATATTTTCTCTTTTTTTTTCGGACAAATGTTTAGTAACTACACTCAATTCAACCACCTTATTGGTATACTGTGCTTCATCAATAACCATGTGCAGTATGTTATCAATACGTACATTTTGAATACTATCATTTAACAATGCAATTAACGTACTTTGAAATTGAAGCATAGTTCAAACCCTTGTCGGTTCATTAGTAAAATCGTTATCTTTGAATTCATTTTTTTTTATTTTGCAGTGGTGTTATTTACGATAACTTTAGGAATGGCTTTTTTGTTAATTATCATAACGATATTTGTCACGAGACTATACTATAAACCGAAACGGAGCATTGCTCCAAACTGGATGCATTCATTGGTAAGGAAACTCCGGAAGTTAAAGTGCAGAGCAAGAAGAATACATCATATTGAACAAAATCAGGCTATAGAAGATGGACGACCAAAAGAAGAAGTAGCAAGCGTTGCAAAATGTAGCCCATTAAAACCATACAGCAACAAGGAGCTAGCAGAATTCTTTGATTATTTGCTGTTTATTGTTTTTACAATTTTTTACATTTTTATGCTTGCAATTGTTCCAATCGGAGCGACCATATGGTTTTATATAGCTACAGGTAAACTCTAAATATGTTGTCGTCATCGCACTTTTTATCCTTTACTTTGATTTTTTCTCTTTTTTGTCGGGCAACAATTGCACAGTACATACACTCAATTCAACCACCTTGTTGGTATATTGTGCATCACCAATAATCATTTGTACTATGTTATCATTACGCACATTTTAAATACTTATCAATTATGGACTTTTGACGAGGTCAATACGTTATATATGGACCTATTCAGATTATATTGAACAAGGACGAAGTCAATACAATCTAACCGGTCAATATATAACGTATTGACTGAGTGAAAGTCCTTAATTTATATATTACATATGAAAATAATGAATTAGGAAAACGGCGTTCAATCCTCATTCTGTGTATTTTTAAATTGTATTTTGCAAGAATTTTAGCATGTTATTGAAAATATCAATATTCTTTGAACAACTTCATAGCTTTTTGCATTAGCTTTCTTGTATTCTTAGCGTCTGCATTTAACATAAATTCTTGAAATCTCCTGATAAACTTGCAAATTTTCTTTTCGTCTGCTGCGAAGCTTACTCCATGGTTGTTATGTGTGACGTCATGACATCATGAATCTAAATTTAGCAAGATGTTTTTATATTGACCGTCAATATACATATAAATAGAAACATAGCATCAATATACTTAAAAATAGAAACAAGGCTTCGAATATGTAACATAACCTTTGAAACACGTGATCGTAATATCCAATGAAAACAGTGGACTACTACACCTTATGTAATATTATCATTTACGTACAACAAAATACTACACATATAATTTGTTTTTTCATATTATAAATGGTTACGAGCATAAATATTTCAGCTGTTAAAATGTATTAATCGCCGTCGATATTATGTAAAAGAGATATTTATAATAAAGTATAAAATCTATATTTTGTGTACTTAGTTTAGACATTTTCGTATAGTTAACCCTTGAGCATTTCTGAATAGATATCAATTGCCGGACTGTGACTCTGGTGAGGTTAAATTGGTACCATTTATGTTGTTTGGCCTGCAGAGCAGTGATATCTAAGTATACGGTATAGGTTTTGCTCATTGTTGCAGCCCGTACTGTAACTAGTTATTTACTCTTTTTAACTCTAATTGACAGTTGTCTCATTAAGAATCATACCTCTAAATATGTTTTTGTAAATCTAATTTTCAAATCAAATTGGTCGGCACAAACTGCTAGATACCATTTATAAATTCGCAGCCCCTTTTTCAATGGTTTATGTAATAATTTTTTTCAATTTGTTGTTATATATTTTATATATGTTTACATTCCATTTTTGAATAAAGCTTCTTTGGGATTATGACAATTAATACTGATAAAATAGAAAGCAACATATACGAGCCAAAGAAGATATTATGTCAAGATCAAATGTTCAACTTTTACGGACTTGGTATATAATATTACAAACTATAATATTAAGTATATATCGTAGAGAGTCTAGAGAAGTTGCACCAAAATTATATTTACCAATAACCATAAGAATTTTAACTGATAAACTATTGTATTAAGAGCAACCCAAAAAGTTACCATGTCTTGGACAGTCGGATGAAGAGGGGACAGCTGCCTTTTCATGGATTTCCGTAAATTTTATGGACACCATCACAAATTGGTTGATCCATACGATGCGTCTGTGTCTAAACTAACTAAGGACAGTTTTACCACATCTTAGATAGTGGTTTACCATTTACGTCGCCTGGTCTTTTAAGTACCGAACATGACCTATTCCCGAATATGACTATTTTGCTGAGTGTGAATTCGCATTGCTATAAAACGTGTCACGGTATTTATTTATCCAACATTCATGTATTCAGTAATGATGTTGTTTTTGTAATTCTGATCGGATATTGTTAAATGTCTTATCGTTTGTAGTTGAAACTCTTTTTTTATTTTCTATTCGTATGTTAAAGTAAAGATAATTAATCACCCAGTTCTTTTATAAGATTTTAGTTTAACATGTTTAAAGCAACCATATGTACACTATTTATTTGTTTTACAGTTTGACCTAGACGAAATACGGATATAGCTAGATAAAACAATTAATTATCTAATTACTAACATAATTCTATATTAATATTATTGTAATTGTTATAAAATACATCAAATAACAAAATTACAAACCTAATCTTGATTTATATCTAATTTTTATAAATGTTCCTGTGACGTCACTTTTGTGGCGTTGTTCCAGTCGTGTGACGGACAGTTCGTGGTTCTTTTGTGCTGTTTTTGTGTGCTGTCCTAGGTTGTTTTACGTGTTCGTTTTTATTTTGTGGTTAGCATGTCGAAATGTTCTATTGTATTGTTTATTTGTGTATTTCTCTGTCCTGAATGTTCTTGCATTTATTTGTACTGTGTTCTTGTCATGTAATGATATCATTTTAGTGTTATATTTAACATTGTCATAAAAGCGCGAGGTTTGGCTAGCCACAAAACCAGGTTTAACCCACCAGTTTTTTTTTCTTAAAATGTCCTGTACCAAGTCAGGAAAATGACAATTGTTATCTTATAGTTCGTTTCTGTGTGTGTTGCATTGTCGTTTGTGTTTGTTGCACTTCAGTGTTTCTGTTGTTTCTTTGTTTTCCTCTTATAGTTGATGTGTTTCCGTCGGTTTAAGTTTTTAACCCGGATTTCTTTTCTCTCAATCGATTTATGACTTTCGAACAGCGGTATACTACTGTTGCCTTTATTTTCCTAACACTAGAAGGCGAAGGAAAAGCTAAGATGGAATAATTATACAACATTTTTCTTTTTTTTCTTTTTATTATATCATATTGTTTTTTTGAATGTTATATATATAATTTTTTAGATGTAATAAAATGCTTTGGCCACTATTTTTCTTTTTGCTTTCTTCCTGCTCCTGAACCATCTTAAGTCGAAACAGAAAGCGTGTGATGCAGATACAAAACATTAATGTGAATTATCAGATGTTTTGCAAATTTGGTTTAGTTTCGTGCTCAAATGGAAATTATAAAAAGAACAATATGCAACAGTGAATGAATGTGAAATAAAATTCATAAATGCTAAAAATAAAACGTAGATATGTGATTTTTTTTTTTACTCAATATAAAATTTTCATATAGACTAAAGTTCATGGGACACGAACTGTCATTTTACTATTTTTGCGCAACTGAACCATCTTCTGTTGCAACAGACATTGTGTGATGCAAATTTAAAGCATTAACGTGTAAAATTAGATGTATATCAAATTATTGATGGTTTTTGTACTAAAATATAAATTTTAAAAAGAACATTGCAACTGTTTTCATTGTCAGATTTACATGATTTAAATGAGAGTACAATGGGAATATGTGAATTGTTTTGATACATCACAAAAACTAAACGCCATATTTCTAACTTTGATCATTGTTCTTCGTGGTCTTAGAAAGAAGTCGCTAAGTTTTGTGTGCTCCTGGTTTATAACATCTAATGTAAGTATTGGAGATGATGCTCTGACAATGTCAACAAAAGCCCTATTGACTTTGCAAACAGTAGGTTTAAGTCATTGCAGCATAAATACACTATAGAAAAGGCCCAGTGAACATCGCTAACACCAGTTGTAGTATTTACAAGACAAACATGCTGAACTGAATTTGTACGTCGTGCTAAATAACAGGGTAATAGTTTGCAGGAAGACGTGTCTCCTAACCCGGACAAATTATTTTGACTCCAAGCCAACCAATCTTTGTTCTTACTTCTAAATGCCCCGTGTATAGCAGAGATACAGAAAAACTCATTTTAGAGTATGAAGTTCTACCCAGTCGTTGATCGAAGCCATGACCGTCTGAACTCGATACGAGCACGTTACGACGAGACCACCAAAAGGGTTAATCAAAAAAGGAAGTGGCAAATACAGATAGCTAGACTGTTTTTTATGACATTTCATAGATTTAGGTGAAAACATGAGTTTCCGAAAATCCCCCTTAATATTCATAAAAAATTCCCAAAAGAGGGACAGAATGTAAAAGTATAGTGTAATACGTCTCCAAGATACGGGCATATAACAAACGTTGTACCTGTTACTAGAACAGAAGAGGCCTCGATACCAATAGGACATTCAAAGCTCAGAAGTCGACGATAAAAATGACAAAGCTATGTCAAAAACGACACTTGATGAAAATACCTACACATCAAACTCAAACCCTACCGAAAGACGAATTGATTTACGGTGTTTCATGGGGGTAAGTTTATCCTTGTCCAGTAGTTGTACCCGTCGTGTTGTTAATTTTGTAAAACAAACAAGGGAAATGATGAGGATTATGATAACGAAAATTGAAACTTAGGGCATGGTTCACTCGTTCACAAAATATATATTTTGAACATGAACTAAATCAATTTCCATTTCGAACAGTTGTTTTTTAAATAAAATATAAAAAGATATAAACTCAGCTACAGAGTTAACATGGTAAATCTGGAGTTATTTGCAAGATCGTGCAAACTTATACTGTACATATTATATTAGAAATTAACGACAAATTCTTGTTACGTGTTAAAAATGAAAATAAATAGGTCAACGTAGGTCTTGATCGATGAGCAAAAGCAATACTGCATAGTAAGCTATACAATGCCTCGAAATGTCAAATGTAAAACTATTCAAACAAGAAAACAAACTCACGGCCTGATTGATAAAAGAAACAAAATGAAAGATGTACAAATATGATATACATCATCAAACGATAACCACTGATTTACAGACTCCTACCTTGGGACAGGTTCATACAGAATGTGGCCGGGATAAATATGTGAGGGGGTACCAAACCTTCTTCCTAACCTAGGAGAAGGGTGTAACAGTACAATATATGAACAAACAAATCAGTTGAAAAGGACTTTAATTTGATCCCCATAAACTTTAAGCTCTTTCTGCTCCATAAATGCCATCAGTTGATTTGATCATGTATGGCAAAAAAAAGAGCTCGATGACCTCTGAAGTTGTCGTAAAAAAGAGGCAAAAGTTATTGTTTTAGGTTCATGCCTTTCAAATATTGTAGTCTATGGCATCAATATAGATACGTTAATTGCCGAAATGAGCGTCTAGTGCAGTTACATTTGTACCAGTTAAAATATCACATTGTCGTCCCCTAAGTTTGTTATAGTATCATCAACTATATTTGAAAATTTAAGAGAAATAGAATTTAACAATAAATCACTTTACATGGAGGCTTAAAATATACAAATGAAAACAATTTACACTAGGCTTATGCATCTTAACCTAGGTATTTATTCATAATATATTTCACTTTTCCCATAAAACCTTTAACGTGCAGACCCTGTTTATAATAACATACAGGTGTACGCAAAAAATTAGGAATACTTTTCCCTTATTTAGGCTAGCCAGGAGATGGTAATTGAGCAGATTTCGTTTGTTGTTGTATATTAATTTTTTTTTGGTTCATAAATCAGGCCATTAGTTTTTCCGTTCGAATTTATTTACATTTTTCATTTCGAGGCCTTTTATAGCTTGCTACGCGGTAGGGATATGAGCTTATCGTTTAAAGCCTTGTGGTAACCTATTATAAGGATTATAGTTGCTAGCTTCTACGTCATTTTGGTCTTTGATGGAGGGTTTCTCATTGGCATTTATACCACATCCTCTACAAATATGCTAGTTAGGGTTTCAGACACATTGTTAAATATAACAATTCGGATACTAATGATATAACTATCGTTTTAAGATTGATTGATTGATGGTGTGCACAGTCGGGATTCGAACTCACAACCTCAGTGTTTACTGGCTATTGATACAATATAGTTCGACTGCTTAGACCACTTGGTCACGTGGCCTTATATATCGACCATAGACCGAAAGCCAAAGATGTAACCAGATACGGAATGGGAACAGACAAGTTTTTTCTAATAACGACTCGTTTCACAAAAACTCAGTATTGCATTGATGGTTTCTACATATTCTATATAAGGAAATGTCTGTACCAAGTCAGTAATATGACATTTGTTTTCCTTTTGTTTGATGTGTTTGACTCTGTGGTTTTGTCATTTGATATGGACTTTCTGTTTTGAATTTTCATAGGAGTTGTTTTTTTTTTTTTTTGTTATTTTACCTTTTTTAAGACCATTCCCGGCCCAATACAGCTACGGTAGCTATGGATATTTTATTAACAACAAATTGCCGGATTTAATCTCCAGACATAATTTGGACTAATGTGATAGATCTCTAACGCCTATCCCTTATTTATCATAATTTCACAGTATACTGAAGATAGCAAATGAAATCAAAATCAATCAGATCGCAGTCATATTGTACTATTTTAAAGCTTTTGATTAGTACATACACGAATAGAAATCGTTCACAGTGACCAAGTACGTGTGGAGAAAAGTTTTGAGTCATCGCGATTAGTCGAATTGATGGATACAGATATAACTTTATTCTAGGAAACCAATATCATCTTTATTGTATAAGATGCACCAAACTCTAGTACTTTTGTATTTGTTTAACCTTTCGCAATGATTAGTTCAATCGGAACACCACAATTCAAGTCGCGATAGTTATTTTTAAGGTAGTGGCTATTTTGCCGGCATATTTGCTATTTTTCGGCTCTGATTAAAAATATCTTAATTCAAGCCGGCAAGATAGCATATTTCTGAAGAAACGGCTATTTTACCGGCACCATCAATATAGTGAATTTGTTATTTTGCCGGTTCTTTGTAAAGAGTGAAATTTATTATTTACTTTTGAAAAGAACTATGAATATGTGCACTGTCAACATAAAAGAATTAAATAATTACTGATATACCAGTAGTTAAATAAGAAAACAGCTAACAATATTTGAGACACATATAATCGTTTAAAAACATTTATCAGTCAAAGTGTAAATTACTATTAAGAATTTATAACAAGAAGGAAAAAAAACAATATACAAATATTGAGCATCCATTTGTTGCAATGAAATCATGTCAAAACATGTAGTTGGAATTATTTCTAAAATTAGTCATGCTACTGCTACATGTATGCATAAGAATAAAATCTCAGATTTTTTAACTGTATGTTAATAAAAAAAAATAAAAGTTAAAAATATCATTGCATCATAAATTTGATAAAACAATATGCAATATAACAAAGTCAATTACATAGCTTCAAAAATAAAAAAAAATGCTTAAATTAAACTTGCTTTTGAAATAATAGTCAGTTATTTGAATTGCATATGTGTAAACAAAATAGTTTTTAAATTGGCGTCCGCTTACCTAATGCCAGCAAAATATATATGTGACATATTTTCTATTTTTTCAGCGCCGACAACAATTTCACTATATTGCAAGTGCCGGTAAAATAGCCATTTCTATAGGAATAGGCTATTTTGCCGGCTTGAATTAAAATATTATAATCAGAGCCGGCAAAATAGCCATGCACTGTCTTTTTTTAAATGAAATATTTAGCTGTTTAATGCCCTAACTTTATCACTTAGGAATTTCCATGAAAAATATTTATCAAAACTGGAAATTTTCGGTTTCAGTTTGTACTGTTTATGGAATAGTGCCATATTTTGGCAAACGTACCTATTTTCAGTGTCAAAGTTGTCCTTTTAAGGAAAAAAATGGCCAATTTAGTCTTCGTTTAAATAGGATTTATAATATCCTTTGTAAATAATTGTTCATATTCTTGTAAGACCAGTTGATGTAGCAATAATTTCAGTTTGTACTTTCTATTTTTTCTTACATCATACTTGTAATATATCTCATTTATATCTGTCTACTTATTGACTTCTTGAAAGGACTACTTTAAGAAATGAATAATCCCATGGGAATAATTCAGCTTTCTTTTAAACAATGCAGGCAAAAAATGCAACTTTATAGCTGTGTATTTTAACGTGT